TCAGCAGTAATCAATATGGTACTCTGAATAAGTAGTCTCTCCTTGTAAGATGTGCTTAAAAATCTCAATAAGAAGTCAGCTCAGCACATGAAGGGAAGAAAATTATTCCTCTTACATATTTTAAGCACATATCTTACTTAGTCCCTTGATAGACTGTGGCCTAAATAAATGTCTGAAATCTACACATAACTTAATATTATAATTATCTGTGAACTGACATTTTCTACAGCATTATAACCATGTGATTCACAACACGTAAAAAAAAACATTAAACTGAGTAATACTTACTAAATCTGCCATATTCACAACTGACTTAGCATAGCTGTTGGTATGGCCAACTGATAACCGGTGTTTTTTACACTGAAAACAAACAGAAACAAGTTATAAATGCATTTTTGGTGATCTGAAAAGCATTTAAAAATGAATTTACCTGTAGGAAAAGCTGTGTGCAAGCTGTTTATCTTTTGGACTGATTATAATTTAAAACAGTTAAAATTATTCAAATATGCATTCTACAGTATTGGGAGGATCAATTAATACATATTTGGAAAGTTAAGATCTTTGGTGAAGATGCTGTAGAATTTCTATGGAAGTATTTTTATTGAAATTGTTATCATTATTACAACCTTAAAACAATGAACTATTAGTAGATAACGGTCAAATGCCAATATGGCATATGCTATCATAATTTCAGTACCCTTTCCTGAAACTGCTTTGCAGATGTAGTCAATATTAATCTGTCTACTTGCAGCCTAATATATCTAAACACATTTTCCTGAAATTATTCTGTCCCAAATCCCTACCTGTCTTTCCTTATAAAAAATTGCAGTACTTCACAGTAAGTGTCTCAAATCACGTTTGTAATGATACAGCAACAGTAGAACACTGCAACATTATTCTATAAAGGTGACATTTCCTATGCAACATAACCTTCCCAAGTCCTTCTACCTATTGAACAGCCCTCATATAATTCTGCACCTTTAATGTGCTTAAATGTTACAGTGACAAATACTTTAGAAAAGCCTAAGACACCTAAACCAAGTTTTTCTGATGTGTCTAACAGTTTTGGAAACCAACCTAAAACACTCTGAAAGGGTGCCCAGCACTTGCTGAAAATCAGGTCCATGTTTCCTGCTCTTGAAAAGTAATATATACTGTTTATTATTACTATATTAAACACCCACCAGAAGTGGACCATAAAAACAATCTCCCTTTAACCACTCTGAAATACCAGTGAGAGCAGCTGGAATATGCAATCCCTGAAGCTCTGAAACGCTCCCATATGTCCCTGTGGGGCTGCCAAAGCCCTCGCCTTACCACCTGTCTAGCCTCTATTGGGTGGTTTGCAGTTTTTATACCATGCCTGTACGTAGTGATTAGGTCAGCCAAAATAATATATCCCTTAGGTGCCATGACAAAAACCATGCCTCAAAAAATTCCCCAAAGGTTTCAGGAAACTACAAGCCTGGAAAAAATATTTAGAAAAAATCTTCATTTTTTCCACCCAGTCATAAACAGCTGGGAACTCCACACTGTACACATGCCTCAGACCTCCTGCAGCCTGGCTGCTGTGGAGTTCTTTGAAATATTTTCCCAGCCAGTACCAGGCAGCCCAGAGAATGTCTGAAATCCAGAGTTTCCAAGCTTCAAACTGTAGATGGGGAAAAAAAGGAAAGACTGTTTTGCTGAGCAGGAGGCAGAAAAGAGGAATAAGCCAAAGAACTATGTAGTTTTTGACCTGGGTAGGAGGAAAGGGAGATTAAGGCAATGTACAGATATTCCTTTTGTGCTAAGAGAAAAGCCTTTCTCCCACCACAAAAAAGAGAGATGAAGGGACAATCAAGAGATTTCTTGCAGAAGAAAACTGTCTCCTCCACAAGATGTTAGATAGGTTATTTACAAGAAAGATCTTCCTCCTCCTGATATGACTTGAATGCCTGTACACTTTTCAGGAGGGAGAGACACTTGCATCCCACAGTCCTCTGACTCCCTGACAACCCACCCAGGTCAGCTGGGGAGCCAGGACCCAGTTTCAAAGAAGTTGTCCCTAGCCGCGCTTCTTTGTTCCTCTGACTTTAAAACACCTTGTGTGCAGCTCATCTGAGCTGCTGAAGAAGCAATTTAAAACCAGGGTGGCTGTCTATTGACAGTCTTCCTCCTTCCCAGGCAGGGGAGAGGGCAGGCTGCCAGGTAATGAACTCCCCTAAAAGCAGTGATAGCCCAGGGAGCAGCCTTCCTGTGGTCCCTGGCTGGAGAGCTGGCATGTGTAACTCTCCAGCTAGGGAGAAATTCTTACCAGTAGAAATGAATGCCTGTACCCACCTAAGATACTACTGTAACAACCTGGGAAAGAGAGACTAGGTCAAAAGAAAAATACACTCAGGAAGAGATGGAAGAAAACATGATGAAAAAAAAAACGTGAGACAAAATAACCATGAGAGAAATGACATGAAGGAGAAGTCAGGCACGAGGATAGTCGAGAAAAAGTGGTAGAACACAGAAATAAAATAAAATGTACACAGCACTAAGGAAAAGGCTTGAACATAAAATTCAGACCTCAGTCCTCCAAAGATTTATGCACATGCTCTAAGCACTGCGTAAAACTATTTTCAGTACATAAAATCCAGCATCAGTGTAAATTTTTCTAAATGTAGAATCTGTTAAAGAATACTTAGGAAACAAGAACATATTTATTCTTAAAAAGGAATACTTTCTAAAGCATAAACCAATTCTTTGTTTTGAACTGGATGCATTCATAAGAATCTTTTTTTAAATTGCCTCTTTTGGGGTGTTACACTATCATCTGTCATTTTGTTTTTTAAGCCTGAGCTCACAATAATCCTTACTCGAGATCTGACTTGCCCTTTTTTTATTTTACTAAGCACAATACAATTGAACAGTATTTCCCAACTTATATTTTAGGGGGCATGAAAGGATCCTTAAATGCAAATACTTCAATATTGGTAGTTCTGCTATAAAAAAGTGCTGAAGAAATATTTTACCTTTGATAACATTTATTTTGGGATGAGGTAGCAGACATACAAAGACTTTAAAAGAATGTTTTAAAAATGATAGTATTTAATTATTCTTTTCAGTCATGTGTTCAGATTTTTTCCAAGGTCACTGTGTCAACTACCTTTTTTGCTTCATTTTTTTTTCACTTCAGTTGGCAGTGATTTACTGTGTGGCCTTGGGCAAACTACACAGAGCTGATCTTCAAGATGTGCTGAGCTCTAACAAGTTTAGAAAAATCAAGGGCTCTGCAGATACTTAGTTCTTCAGAAAAATCAATCTCCATTGACCCATCTTAAAAATTAGAAGGATGATGGTTTCCCACCCCCCACCTCCCTCCTTTTGAAAAGGGCTTTGGGATTTAAAGATAAATATATCTTTGCAGCTGATTTTTGTCTTTTTCAGAATATACTGATATCACCAAATTATCTAAAGCAGACAAAAATACTATGACTTTTAGTTTATTTCCTTGTTTTCACTCCAGTAAATGTAAGCATATCTTTAGAAGTAACTGCTCCTAGAAATTCATCATTGGGTGCTCATGTTTTGTTTAGGATGGTCTCCTCACAATAGGGAGACTGCTTTTGGCTTTTTAATATAAATCTCTCTTTCTAAAATAGAGAAATTAATAAAAAGGTTCTTTTTATACATTCCCAGCCTATACAAAATTCAAAGGAAGGCAAAGTTTGGATCTAAATCACCAGGCAATAAGCATCTTTGCACAAGATTGTTTATTTTCTGCTGCCACAACACACCTTGCTGTGTTGCATCTACCAGAGACAGAACATGGCAGCCAGCTATAGATAAGTTATGTCTATTTAGTCTTCCTCAATATTTGATGGTTTTGTATAAGTTGTGACGCTTATAACATATTCTATTAAATAAAAAGTGAGACAAGTGGTGTTATAGGGCTAATGAAACGTTGAATCAACTTCTTGACTCTGAACAGCCAGATTCCAACACTGATTTATGAGGGCTGTGATGTCAGTAGCTCAGTGCATACTGGAATACCTCAGATAAGAAGAAATTCACCAATTTTAGGTTACTGCTGTTTGCAGACTCAGCAAAAAACAGGAAAAGTGATAAGATGGACACAGTTACTGAAACATTCTTAAGTTTGAAGTGTCTGAAAATTCAACAACAGAATGTGTGACCATTAAAAGGCATTTTGCATCTCACAATGCCCATGGTTATTCAAATGCTAGCCCAAAGCACACTGCCAATACTGTAACTAATTTTCCATAATCATAGCTCCAGATACAGAGTGCAGGCAAAGTCATAATGAGTGGGTTAATCTCAGAGGCTTAGCAGCACAGCGCTGCACCCACCGAGGTTGCACAGCACTCAGGGCAGTGCCGGCTCCTGCCATGCTGATTGCAGCTGTACAATTAGCTACTACTGTGACAATGGCTGCTTCTGCACCCCTCCTACAAAAGCGGTGCCTGGGGCTGCTATCCCAGTCACCCCTGCCTCAGTTACATTGCCTCAGACCCTTTACCAAAAATATTGTAACCCAACAGAAAATAATTCATTTGCAAACCTCTGTCTGCAGTCTGTGCAGGAGAGTAGTGGACTGACTCTGATAATATCCATAAATATCATAATATAAGAAGCACTAGCCTTTGGAGGAATCAGATCTGTTCAGTTGGGTAGAACACGTACCATTGTCCAGGCTGTGGACGTACTTTCCAGGCTTGAACACAATAATTCAGGAAATGTTGAATGGCATCCAACATTTTCCTCTGTGATTTAAGAAATTAAGCTTTGTTCACCAAATAGAGCTGTCAAAGGATTAAATCACCCAAGGATAACAGTGTATTCCTTTTGTCAGGAGGTGATGTGACTCCACCAGATTGTAATTAGTTACATTAAGTGACATGACTACCAGTGAGTGGTATTCGGTGATGCAGTGGCGGAGGAATGAGACCTTAACCTGCACTATTATGTGGACAGTGCGTGATCGCTAGTAGCCTAACCAATCAGGAGTTACCCCTAGAGCATGACTGGCTGGACCAGCATGCTGAGGCCTCCAGAATGTTCCATCAAGGGGGGACCCTGATTGGCTAGGGAGTCTATAAAGGGGGCTGTGCGCCTTGGCGTGAGGTCCCCAGACGCTCCCGAACTCAGGAAGACAGCCTGATCACCTGTCTTGTCTGGACAGACCCCTAGGCCTCTAGCTAGATTCCTAGCATAGGCTACCACAGCTTATAGCTAGACCACGTGCTATCTGGAACGCCCTGTGTGTTGCCCAACTAGGCATCATACTTGTACTGATAGTATTTTCAGCTGCAGTCAACCTTCACGATTACACCTTGCTTGTTACTTGCCACTACCCATCATCTGTTCGTTCTCCACACCATGTCGTCTGTGTCCACCTGCTACTGTAAATAGTCCTTGTAATTAGTTCCTGTATTCAACTCGTTAATCATCTTGTTGGTTTGTAAGTAAATTTATGAATTTTCTTCACCTACTAGTTGTCGCGCTTTTTTCCTCTCTCACACTTGGCATCCCCAAGCATGTCTGGGTTGGGGTCACTACTCAGTGCCCCACTCGACACGCAACTGAGGCCATTTTCCAAACACCATCCTTGAATTATGGCCCACACCTTTTACAACTTGATGGGCATGTTTGCAAATTTGGGCACTCCTCAAAACATACTAGACTTAGCAGAGAAGATGGATCAACTGATATATTTATAGAGTTTAAGATCATAAGGGATTCCTAACTTATCTCATGTGATCTCCTGTTAAGAGATTCACTAGTCACAGAATTTTATCCGCTTACTTCTATTGTGCATCATAATTTGGGTTTAACTAAAGCATATCTTTCAGAAATGAATTCCATCCCTATCTAAAGATTTTAAGAAGTGGAGTCACTACTTTTATTTCTGAAGATTAGTCAGAAGGTAGGGCAAGGCAGCAACTTAGGGCACTTTTACACGTGCTCCAGGGGTGGAGGAGGGGGCATTTTAATTAGAGCAGCCACTCTAGTTAACGTGCCACAGCATCTCATGTATCAGCATCCTCACGCTTCAAAATGGCAGCAGGGGCACTTGAACTATAGTTCATTCAATGAGCTTTAGTTAAGTGCCCCTGCCGCCATTTTGAAGCATGGAGACACTGATACACAAGACGTGGAAGACTGCTGGAGCACAATAACTACCACTCTCCAGCACACTTGGTTAACTGAGTCTATTCCAATGCTCGGTAATTATAGCATGGCTAAGCAGCCTCCACGATCATGTACAGGCACCCTTAGGGACTAACTGCTTTAGAGAGGGATAAGTTTCTGTAGGTGACCATCTTCCTAGCACCTTTAAACTGATTAGTCTTTAAGGTGCTACCCTGCCTTAACTTCTACCTGACTTCAAACTAACACAGCTAACTACCTACTCTTTCCAAGGATTAATTCTCATCACTATGAAAACTTTACTTCTTTGAAAATGCCTAGCTTTAGTGCCCAGCTATTGGCTCTGGTTTGTGTATTTCTCAGCTGTGTCAAAAAGCCCTAGTACTTGCTCTCTGGAAAGGTACTTGCTTAACAATAAAATATACTATTGGTGTATTTTGATGTCTCAATAAATGCAGTCATTATAAATCTGTCTGTCATCAATACGCAAACATTACTGATTTGCATGGTTATTAGCGGTAAGCATAATAATATCCAAAACAGTATGAAAGAAACGTGATCTGCTTTGAGTCCAGAAACACAGGAAACTACTGTCCAAGATGCTAGTTCTTCATATTTAATCTAAGATTGTTCTCATTTATCTTGGTGAAAATCAAGAGCATTTTCTATGTAGTTACACAATAGTAATACAAGGTCAGAATCAATTGTCTTGAAGATGTAGGCTGAATTTACATTCTAGCAACATAGAATGCCTAATTATTTTTGTCTCAGAGGCTTAAGACAACTTTAAAATATTAATAAATTTTAAGTAGCAAAGCATATAAGTCTTACCATTAGATGATCATTAACAATCATTAGCTCAATGTATTTTGTTTCCTCCTCAACTTTATGTGGAATCTGACGAACCTGCAGAAACATTGACATTCAATATTTGTTTAAATCTTTATGGAAAACAAATCTCAATTTGTTACAGCAAGAAGAATAATTTATTTCCTTTATTCTGGTCTCAGGTATAAATCATACTACTATGCTTCCATCATTTCACTTATTTTATTTCAAAATCTAACATTACAAAAATAATTGTGTGTTTGCATTGTTGTTCTACCTGTCTACGCTTGCAAACCACAAATTGACACACCTTAATTCCAAAATTAATCTAGAAAGTTTTTGGAGGGCTAGTGGAAGAATGACAGGTATTTACTTTAAAAATGGTAAGTGTTCCCTGCCCCATCTTCTCCAGAGCTTGATAAACGCTTAAAAAACAAAACAAGAACTCCTAATTTTTTTTTTAAATCCTAAACAGCAACTGTACCTTTAGAAACAGTTCGCTATCAGCTAGGAAATCACAACACTGATATAAAGAGAAAGCAGCTCTTAGCTAGAAAAGCACTTAAAAGGCTGTATTATCTGTTCAAATTCTAAATCAATCATTACTTCACAGTCAATTTAGTGCCTCATTTCCTTCCAGTTTACAGATATTCACAGCTGTGTTGTCCTTGTTTTCTCTGGTTTTTCCCACAAGGATTATTATGTCATGATTGTTGCTATAGATCTACAGCTACTGTATGCTGTTTATGAAAAAACAGCAAATCCCTTTAGCACTATCTGGTATAGAGTGATGTTCACAAAAAACATTTATGTGACAAATTCTTTTATTGCCTGTTTACTTTCAAGGTGATAAATATGTGTTTGCCACTTCTTTTAGCCTTTAGTCTTATGTTTAGTTCAGAGATCACGAGACAATTGTGAACTTTTCCAAGTGAATGCAGCACTCTTGAAATGCTGCTTCCTCCTCCTCCTCAGTTTCCCCCTCTTTTCAGCTGTTTCCAAAAAGCCTCTAGCAGAGGTGGATCAAGATGGGAGTGCAGTGACACCTCTGTTTCAGGCAATGCCATGGGAGCAGCAGCTGATGCTTTTTTTAAATCTCTGAATCAGATTCCCTCCTTCAAGAATGCAAGATTCAAGAAGTCCCCCCCTTCCCCTTCCCCCTTTCCCTCAGTGGCATGTCCCCTTTCTTCCTCTCCCATTCCTTCCTTCCACTGCCGCTGTCCCCAGAGGGGCATGCCACTGAGCACAAGGAGGAATGGAGGGAGAGAGGGATATCTTACTTGATTTGGGGACTTAAAAGAAATCCTCATCTGATGTTCCTGTGGTGTGGTTTGCCCATTCAGGGGTAGAAAGGAGCTAGGAGTGAGGGTGCAACCATCCCTGAAATGTTGGTTGCTGCTCCTGCACCCCTTTACAAAATCCTGGATTTGCCCATGGATGCTAGTGAAATTCCTTGCCTCCCTTGATTATTTGTTTATTCATATCTCATATGTCAAAATGACAGAAACAATAGGATTTCATCTTCAGAGCTCAATAGCTGTAAGCCAACCTTAACAGTATAAATTAGTATATCATCTCATACCTGTCTTCTACTCCTTTTGTGTCTTGACTTTACAACAAACTTCTGTGATGTAGTGTTCATTTGCTTGAATTCTATATGGAAAGCACAATGAGATAAGTCTTTAGTTTTACAAAAAAAGTATATCATTTCACTTGGCATTTTTTTTCATATTTAAATTAGATAACAATTGTACTTTTTGAATATTTACCTAGACAGGGGACAATGTTACAGGTGCTTTCCTAACAACAGAGTATGAATAAAAAGTCTGAATAAACTTTATTAATAATAAAGTTTTATTAAAACAACCATTATGTGGGTATCATACCATAGAAGGTGTAACCGGTGTTCTAAGACTAAGACTCCAGTTATTGTAACTGTAATTTTGTATGGTGCTACCATGAAATTAATCATATTTTCATTAATTCAGCAATCAGTTCACCCCACTCTTGTACTGTCTGCATATATTACCATGAAAAGGAAACAAAGTGAACACGTGCTTTGAGAGTCATTTTTTTCACAGAATGACATGGTAGGATTGAGCTAAACCTTTGGGATACTGACAGTATCCACAACAAATTTAATATTCCCTTAAATTAATTCTACCTTGTCAGCAGCTTTGAAAATCTCTTATCAGAAACACTAAGTAGTTTATTCTTTAGCCAAATTTCATTTTACTTGCTGGTCACAAGTAAAATGTGTAATCCACACAATTCACAATCCACACAATCACATCTCCTGCTGTACTACATGTAAATGGCAGGAGATGTGATTGTGGGATTGCAAGTCAGTTCCCATCTAGGGTGACCACCCATCCCTAATTGGGTGGGACAGTCCTAGTCCCAGGATGCATGACTCCGAGAGAGTATTTCTCCCAGATTCGCAGTATTGTACAGGGATTGGGAAATGGTTAGTTTCCCCTTGCAGGCTGGCAGTGTTCCAGCCTGCAAGGGGCTGCTTGGGGCTGCCGGGAGTGGGATGCAGGGAGCATCATGGGCATGTGTGAGCCCACATACATGCACGTGGCTAGGAATACAGCCAGACTTTGTGGAGAGCAGCTCCCTGAAGGTAGGTCTATGGAAGAAAGGGAGTACTGAAGGGGAGGGCAGATCAAGTCCCCATGGTGAGGGAGGGAGTGGGGCAGAGGGTGGAGGTACTGCCCAGCCAGGTTGGTGCATGGGGCCCAGGCCAGGAAATGGGACAGAGCCATGGACAGCTCATCCAGGGGGTGCGTGGCATGAAGGGGCGACTCCCCACCACTGCACCCCCCCAGGGGGGCATAGGGGCATGTACCCCCCCCCCCCCCCCCGTTTTCGGCAGGGGAAAAGGGAGGGCACCCCCCCCCCCCCCCCAGATTTGTGCATGGGACAAGGGCAGATGCAGGCTGCCCACTGCATGCTCAGGGCTCCCTGCCCTGGCTTCCTCCCCTGGCTTCCTCCACACTGGCCACGCTGCCATGGCAATGTGCCCCCTGCCTGACCAGCAGCAGCAGCAGGGGTGGTCACAGTGTGGAGCTGTGCCCCCCACTGCTGCCAGGTGGACAGGGGGCACACAGCCAGCACAGGGCTACCAGGGAAAGGCAGCAAGGTGGAGAGCCCTGAGCCTGCAGTGGGCAGCCTGCATCTGCGCTCGCCCCACTCAACTCTGCTTCCGCTGTGCCGCCAGCAGAGGCTGGGGGGCAGGGGGAGAAAAGGGGAGGAGGGAGGGTAGGCAGGCATGTGTCCTACCTTTACATTTTTTAAAAGTGGTCACCCTAATCTCATCACACCTTGTTGCCTGGTTCCTGGGCTCCCCCTGCACCAGAAAGAAGCACATTCTCACAGTTGGGAGCCCTCTTAGCTGACTGGGCTTCCAGCTGCAGGGGCACCCCATGCACCCCTGCCACTGGGACATGGCAAGTGCTGCAGTCTCCCAGTCGTGTTGGTGCATGGGGAGCCCCCAAAACTGGGAACCCTGTCAGCTGAGAAAGCTTCCAGCTGTGGGGACATGTGCTCCCATGGCTAGTCGCCAGCATCAGCTGGGAACTTCCAGGCATGAGGGTGCATACACACCTACAGGCTTGGCGGCACCAAAATGACTAGCACCATGAATGAAAGGAACCTGGGGGTTAATAATAGACCACAGAATGAATATGGGCCGGCAGTGCAATGCTGTAGCCAGTACGGCAAAGCAAATAATACTCTGGCATGCATCAATCAATGCATCTCCAGCAAAACCAAGGAGGTGATTCTTCTGCTCTACTCAGCATGGGTGAGACCCCAACTTAAGAACTGTGTCCAGTTCTGGGCACCACATTGTAACAAGGATGTGGACAAGCTTAAGAGAGTCCAAAGAAGAGCCACCCTTATGATCAGAGTCTTAAAAGGCAAGCCATATGAGGAAAGGCTGAGGGATCTGGGGCTCTTCAGTCTGAGGAAAAGAAGGCTGAGAGGGGACCTGGTAGCAGCTTACCGCTACACTAGAGGAGTACATCTACGGCTCAGTGAGCAGCTGTTCACCAGGGCACCCGAGGGGAAAAGCAGGAGTAATGGCCACAATCTCCTGGAAGATTGATTCAGGCTCAACATTAGGATAAACTTCTTCACAGTCGGGGTGTCCAGACTGGAATAAGTTCCTTCCAGAGGTGATGCAGTCACCTACCCTGGAAATCTTTGAGAGACGACTAGATACTCACCTTGCTGGGGTCACCTGATCCCCAGTTATCTTTCCTGCTTGGTGCAGGGGGCTGGACCCGATGATCTTCCAAGGTCCCTTCCGGCCTTACAATCTATATGGGCACGCACAGCTGAGAGCTCCAAACAGCTGATGGGGCTCCCAGCCACAGGGCACAGGCTACACATGCAAATTAAACCTGGATAGGTACCAGCTATAAAGTTATTACACATTTCCAGCAATAACTTTATAGTTGGTTGAAACGTTTAAGGCACCATAGTTAATTTGCACAATTAACTAGGTAATTGCATAATGCATGTAACATGTAGAGAAAGCCATGAGATGATGAGGGGATTAGTATGAACTAAACAGGAGACAACATTAGTCCTCATCATTTTTAATTTCCCACCTGAATTTTTCCTTCTTTCATTTTAGATTTACTATTCCTGGTTCCAATATTTTTTATATAAACAGAAATTTTTTTCTTGCATTAACAGGTCTCAAATTCATTTATTTTCTTATGTCCTTAATCACCTTTCTTTGAAGCTACAGATACTTAATTTCAGCAATCTCATCTAATACTGTGTCCTCTTTAATAGTCTAGCTTCCCTTCTCTGCATTAGTTCCAACTTTTGAATATCTTTTTAGTTATCAGTAGCTGAAATCTTCTTTCAGGTTTTCAATTTGGTCTTAATGTGACTGAGAGGAATAATATTATGGCTAGGGTTGTGCAAAGCAAGGCACTTTCAATTCAAATAATCTTTGCCCCCAGTTTGGCTTTGTAATGCACTCATAAGTCATTTGGTTGCACATCTAGTCTTAAACTTCTCTCACATTTCCACTTCTGGTGATTTTGCATATGTGGTGCGTGAAAGATGGTATTTCTGCATATGAATCAAACACCAGGCTAAAAAGATAATGTAGCTTAAGAAATTGAAAGGACTACAATTGCTGCAATGTGACAAGGATGACCATACAAATTGCTTCTGACAATAAAAAACGTAAGATCAAAATACAGATGACTGGCCTATTTCACTCAAACAGTGGAGATTACACCACATTTTTATGAAAAAATGTCACACATATTTCTCTCCCAGTGGGACTGAACAAAACAATCACCAGGACTAGGTATTAAATAACACTATCTCATGATAGCTCATGAACTAGGAACCAAATTGCAAATACTTAGCCAGGTTACTTCACTGCTATAAGTAACTCCTTTAAACTAAATGGCTTTACTCATGTGACTAGTTAGTCACATGTATAAGGGTCATGTTCATAGAGTCAGGTCCTTGTTATCTATTCTATTTGTTCTCTTTCAGTTTGTCTTACAGAAGAGCAAATATATTTGAAGATATTTACCTGCAAGATTATAACTCAAATTCTAAGCATAGCACATTCTGCCAGGAGAGAATAAAAGGGACAGGATCGTCTTTAAAAATATTGTTAGCTAACATGTGATATGGTGGCCACTGAGAGGTAGCCCCTAGTCAATCTCTACAGCTCATAATGAATGAAAAGTAACAGTTTTGAAATATATAGGTTTGTACTGGGGGGGCAGAGTTGTATTTGTTGATATTTTCACTGTACCTAATTGTCTATTCAGTCAAAGCATTGATGCCATATTACCAAAGCATATTTCAGAATTTATATTTATAATTATAAACTAATTTCAATATTTATATTCTTATGAAAAAGCCAGTGGTAATAGTACATTTTTAACAATAAAATAACAATGATCATTTATAAGCAATAGCCTTAGCCATGGCACACAAAGGAGTGCTATAACTGGCCTCACCACAGCCACCTTATTCCCCACAACAAAGAGCAGGTACCCATTTTAGTGCAGGTGATCTTCAGCATGAGCCTAGAGCAGAGTTTGAACTCATACCTCTTGAACTGTACCAAGACATATTACGCACCTCTCTACCACCATTCAAACTACTAAATCAGTTTTTGGGGCACCTTGGGTTATCCCTGAAGCTTTCCTCTTCAAAGTTATAACCCTCCACATTCAGCAAAATCTGACAGATTCACACCGTAGCATGGAGTATCTGCAGGTCATCACACGCTGCAGTATATTGTCTTTGCTAATACTATATATTTTTTAATTTCCATGGAACAGAAGAAAATAAAAAGGTATGCTGCCAATACCATAATAGAATACTGTAAGCTTCTATTAGTATTGATATGAAGTTAGCTTATTACTGCCAGCATAAAAGGCTCTTGATATATCAATGCGCATTCACAATGTAGCTATGACTGAAAATCTTAGCTGAGGCACAGAACTCAAAAAGGATAAGAACAAAATCCTGACATTAAAGATAAAACTTCTCAGGGCATGTAAGTTCCACAAATGAGATCAATAATAAGAAGAGAAATACTAGTGATATAAAGAACATGGCAATATGCTTTTTTTGTTATAATATCCATCCTAATTCTAGGACAGGATTAGACAAATAGTCCAGCTACAGTAATTTAAAAAAGACAAAAAGTCAGAAATATTGTATACTTCTAACTGCAAATGTACTATACCAGGTAAAGGAAATAAGGACAGAAAAGCTCATGTTTTTAAAATTCTGGCCCCATTCAAGTCCAGCAGAAGAACTTTGCTATTGATTTTAATGGGATCAGAATTTTACCCTTAAATGGTTCATTGGTGCTGCCCACAGATGCATATCAGGCAATGGAAGTTACACATACATATTTATTATATATTACTGATTAAAACAAAATCAACATAAACAACAGAAAATGAAAAAATGTTGGGGTGTTCTGTGAACATAAAATTAGTAGCTATGGCAGTAGACATAGCACTTAGATTTATATTCCACCCTATCCAGAAAGGCTCAGGGAAGCTTACAATAAAAGACAAACAACCACAAAATAAGAAACAACAATAGACTCCCCAAATGACAACCCAAAACTTTATAACTCCACCCCACGACATCCACCTCTGCTTCCCTGCCTATCACTCAGGACAGCAAGCCTTCCAGCCCATCCTAACTCTTCTACAACTGTTAAATCTTTCATCTGAAATTCAGGGCAGGTGTTCAACATTGTGTGTGAATACAGAAGGGGCAGATAGAGAGTTTAACATGTTGTTATGAAATTCTCTTGCTTTAATTTGTTTATATGTGAGATCCTAAAGTACCATGAGCAGGCATGAGACTAGTGCCATATTAATGGCAAAGTATGTGTATACAAAAGCTATTTTCATTCATATTCCACAAGTTGATCAATTGGCAGCCCTTCCCTATCTCAGATTGCATATGTGGGGGTTTTGGTGGTAAAGCTAGCAATGTTCTAGTTTTGATGACAAAAGTCAGCAAAATATAAGCAAATCAAGATTTCTGTGAAAATGTCACAGGTAGCAAGACTTATGTGACACTTTGTTTGAAGGTAACAGGTTGCTGCTTGCAAAAAATTGCTTCTCAAAATCATAAAAAAATCAAAATTGACATTTATTTTTCCCCAAATATGTGAAAAAAACAATGCTTCCCACAGGGAAATCCATTTGCCCAGAGGACACCCAAGTCTAATTCCAATATGTCTCATGCTTTAGTAACCCCTTTAGAAAGACTCCTTTCAAACTCAGCAGTCTTGGCTCTGTTAGAGGACATCCTGCCAAACAGATCCCACACAAGAGTGCACTCCATTATTTGGCCTCATATTGGATATGCTGCTTGGTTTATAAAGCCATTTTGCATCTTTCCCCACAACTGAAGTGAGTAACCACCTTTGAGGCATGTGTATAGTCCGTTTCATAATGAATTTTCAACTGCGTTCTGAGCTAGTCATCCCCCTTACACTGCTAGCCATCAGTACATGAGCAAATCTACCAAGGGCACCTTTTATTTAGAAAAAAACTTTTACAAAGTAGGGGAATATGGGAACTAAATCATTACAGCCTGTGATGGAAGTTCACTGGTGCTATGAATATTGCAGCTTCTCCCACAAATCAATGAGCAAAAGAACACTGCCCGCCAAGACTTATCTATGTCCATGGAATATTCAGCACAAGAAGGCCCCAGTCTTTATAGCTCCTGTATCTCAATATTGTAGAACACCAACACTGGACAATTTATTTCTTTAAGAAACCAGCAGGGTGGGGCAGGTCTGATTTATCTAGGATGCACTGTATGTAGTAGGAATTAAGTGTACATGCTACTGCATGTAACTTCAATTAATGAGTTCATTTAAAAAACATTATTTTTTAAACATTAACTCTTTACATAATACAAAGTGTTTATGGAGATATACGTGTAATAAAAGTTGACACTGCCATTTTCAGTTTCCGTTACTAAGCAAGTAAACCTCAAAATATGCAAACCTTGTTGTATGTGCCAATTACAGAGATGAAGATTGAGGCACAGACATTAAGAATCGGAACTTGGATAAAACTTACAAGGTCGTACACCTTGACATATGCAAGGACCAGCAGATGACTCCTCTCTAATGGTTGAGGAAACCAAAGATCATCAATATCTAGCAACTGGGAATTATTTTAGACTGCAAAGCATCTGCTATATGTATAATAGCATAAACATATTCCATATTTAAAAGACCTTATTAAAAATTCAGTGATACAAAAGTTCAGGTGCAGTTTGATTTGCTGCTTTTTCTTCCAAAACTTTTTAGTTGAACAGAAAAGAAGAATCAAGTAAAATGAAAAGATTAACTACATGAAATATGATTAACAAATTTGGTATTAAACTAAGACAAGACAAAAAGAAGAGGTTATTTTTAAAAAATCATACCTGCTGGTAGGTTATCCAAAGGAAATTCAAATAGCTTTGATTTGTAAACAGAGTGGAAGTCTTCCTGAAAGAGAAAACGGACAGTTGCATTGAACCAAGATAAAATAATCCACGCCGTGAGTATTAGGAAGAGCATCCAAAAAGGACGACAGGTACCAAGGTCATGTGTTGCTGAAGTAATGAAAAACTACAAGCTACTAGACCTCAAGGATCTTTTTTCATGCTCCAGATTCTTCTCTTACCCTTCCCAATTAGGATGTGATCATTAATGTTCTGATTACGCATGCACTGATTTTTAAGCATGCGAGTAGCCCAGGGTGAGGAAAATACAGTCTGCGGAGGGGATTTGTCCAGCCCACAGCGGGTCCTTTGGTCCCGCCTGGCCCAGTCACCGCCTGGCCATGGCACGTTCTGCCATCCTCTGTGCATGCAGTGGGGCTGGGACAGCTCCCCAGCTGGACTGCCTTTCTAGGCAGCCTAGGCAATGGTGGCTCCTTCTAGCTGCCACCACCACTGGCCCCAAGCCCCATGGTACTGTTGGGAACCACGTGTGGAGCTGTGACCTGGTATGCAGGATCTGGTTGGCTGCACCAAGAACAGCCCGGCAGTGGTGAGAGGGAGGGGCTGCTTCTCCCCATGCTTGAGCAAGAGTTTCTGCCCAGTGCCACTGCTGGTGAGCCTGGACAGGGAAGTCCAGAGCAGGCACGGGGTGTGCCATGCCAAATCAGGGCTGCATGTGCAAGTCCCCACCAGTACCGCGAGGTTTGGGTCAGTGGTGGCAGCAGCTGGAACTAGCCGCCCCAGTCATGCTGTATGCCCAGGGGGCAGCAGGACATGCCATAGCCAAGCAGTGCAGAGCAGGCGTGGGGTGCTCTGGGGGCTGTGCGCTGTTGACAGTGGTGGGGAGGTGCCACAGGGCATGCAGGCTCTGGATTGTTGCAGGGTGGGAGCAGGGGCTGACTGGCTCATGGGGACACAAACGGGGGCTCCCATCCATACCCCATCATACTCTCAAACCCTCCCCCACAAAGCCCACAATCACACTCTCTCCCACACACAATCACACACCCCACAAACACAGCACACACCCACACCCTCCTTCACACACCCCCGGAAACGACTCCCCACACACACACATACCTGTGCATCGCTAGGGAAGCCCTGCTCACTTGTATATGCACACACCCCACCACACACATGCACCCAGACACCCTCCCACTCCACACACCCATCAGCCCCTCGTAAACCCCATACCCACCCACATACCCCCCACACATTCCCACCCACCCACATTCACACATGCCCCACACCCTCCCCCACACTCCACATACACACACATCCAACACACACACCCACAGCCCTCAACAAACCCCATACCCCCCACACCTCCCATAATATAAAAGAGTAAGACTTCATTTTGCACTATTATGCAATTACCTCTATATACACAATGCAAACACACATAAATCAGAACAATAATATTTTTAAAATAAAATTAAAATGTAATTGTGGATGTTTGATTTTTAGTATATAATTTTTTTTCTGGTTCCAAGATGGCAAACCCCCTTCCTAAAAGGAGTACTGCCGGGGTCGAGGGGAGGGATTTCCAGTGACAAAGGTCAAGGGTTAGGAGGCAGGATGTCGGGCTCCAAGATGGTGACCAGGGGGCAGGGTGCTTATCAAGGGGCAGGGCCGCCCTTGCAGCGCTCAACAGCTCACCAAAACTCATTAAGTGGCCCTCCAGCTGAAATAATTGCTAACCCCTGGAGCAGACCCATTGATCTCAATGGGCCTACCTTACATACTTAAAGTTAAGCATGTGCTTAAAGTACTTGGCTGGATTGGGCCAACACTTATAAAGCTGACCAATATGAATGCAGTTGGAGTAAAGTAGATATGTATGTGCATGTTTTTAATAAATCTGCAGCTTTAGACATAAGGAATCTCCCATCATTAATGAACCATCTTTAAACTGACCAGAAGGATGCTGGGGATTGGACTGGATGGCCTCTATAGGTCCCTTCTGGCCCTGCTTCTCTATGATTCTATAATTCTAAGGCACATATTTTGATTTACTAACTAACTGTGAGAAACAACTTCTATAAGCCTGTTCCTGCTCTCTTGAGAGAGTACTTAGGACTCTCAGAACACATATTACCTAATCTTTACATCTCTAGGACACTATATGGACTACCTTCTAAGAATGGATAAGGACTCTAGCTGTACTGGGTCACAAAGCAAGAGGTGCAGGGAAGGAGGCAGGTTCTTGTATTTTCTACCTCCCTTGTGCTCCGGAATGTTTGCGTTCAATAAACATTTTTTAATGATTTTTTGTATCTTTTTTGTCCCTATAATCAGTACATCTGATTCTGACCATGCCTAGGGTTAACTGAAGTTCTACTTACATTTGATGTGTAGTTTTCATCTGGCTCAATAAGGTAAGTATGATTCCCATCATAGAACATCCCACTGTTAAAATCAGGAAATTTAAACATTGATTTTAAAATATTTCTAAAAATTTAAAACAATTTAAGCAGCTTGTGGTATGGCTGAGAAACTGAAAAATAACCAAAAAACAAAATGTAAAAGCATTTTGAGGATTTGTTTCTGAGTCCATATGCTAGTTTTGTCATTTGATAACCATATTTTCCCATTTCAAAATGGTAATTTCTCTCCTCCTGAAAGACCCACGCAAGAACCGCAGGACCTCTTCATGAAGTTTCTAACACAGAATGAAGTTCTCTCCCTGATAGAGAATACACCTTGAAAACTATCTAGGAGGCTTCTCTCTTCATATACTTCAGGAATACAAGTATACCTTTGTCATGCCCATCTCAAGCTTATTAAACTGAAATGACCCTCATATTTTAACTTCTTAGGTGCCACAATCCTGTCTACCTGTGGGCTCCTACAGGACTGCCACATAATAATTACCAATTTTTAGCATGCCCTTAACAGTAAAAATGACTGTGAATCAAAGTGAATATAAACTAAGTGCTGCCAAATACACAAGGTAAAGGAAACAAGTTCTTCTCTCCTATGAAGTTAATACACTTATTTTTTAGGGGAAAAAATATATAAAATATCATATCATGAAGTTTCTGCACCAATCCCCACATCAGATATGAGTGTGCCCCCTCTCTTATGTGACAGTTTCCAGCCTGGCCTCCACCGAAGTGTAAGGGCACACCCTGAGGGCTAAGAGGTCTGCTATTCCACAGGAAGACAAAACCTGCTACTGAACAATCTGAGGTAAACTGCAAAGGAATCTCTAGTCTTTTTCAGGAGTGAACAGCATAGCCTCATATCATTTAGGAAAAGGATCTTCTATGTATTAAGCATTTCAAATACTCAGAAAGCTTTCATGTACCCTAATGGTACACCTCATTATATATACAGGTAACCTCTCTTTCAGACAAGTACAGATGCTTTAAGGGCATCCACTATAGACACACTGCTGTATACCCTGAAAAATCTGCTGTTGTGCAAGCTCAGTAATCAATATGTTTCACATGAATGGGAACCAATATTCAAAGCTCCAAAATGATGACACTCAGTTCAGTTTTAAACACAGGGAGCAATACAAGCTTTAAAGTATCATGGTAAATGAAGACATCCTCCCATAGTTAAATTGTATTGTTATGCATGACTGTTAACATGTAAATACATAGCAGGAGTGAAATCTAACACTGTCCAGATATCTTAAGCATATATGCATCCTATTGAAGTCACCTGACATAGAAAATGTTAATTAACAGTATATTTAAAAAGTATATTTCTTACCCCTCCTCCATTTTTATGTTTACCTAAATCTTCCTTTCTTGCAATTTTGCCATATAGCAGCATATTGTGTGTTTCTGAAAGTAAGTTGAGTCAGCATTTCTTTTTAAAATGTTCCTTTCAATGGTTTTAAATATGGCTATAAATATGAGCTGCATATTCAAACTTGGCATACACTAAACCACCTCAGCCAGGAGCTCAGCCAGGGAGCAAGGTTTTTTTGTAGGTCAAAAAGGACATTGATTTTTAAAATATTTCTATAGAAAAGTGTTGTATCTTTTTTGTCCCTATAATCAGCACATCTCATTCTGACTATACCCAATTGAGTAATAAAATGATGTAATTTAATTCCCATTTTTAAAGGCCCATAACTCCATGTGAAACTTTTAATGCTTTGCAGATTTTCATTAACATATTATATATTTGCCTAAATGGTGTGTTTCAGATATATGTCTTCACAGAATTAGCACAGGTTAACCTATATAGACAAGTGGGTAAAGACACATATTTTATGGAATACTGTTGGGAAACACATCCCACAGACCAAAATTAAGCAATGCTTCCTTTCATTATTTGACACAAGTATGAGCTTCAGGACCAACCTAAGCCTCAGTGTTCAAAGACAGAATTTGCATTTCTCAAAAGAGCCTTGTATTAAGATTTTTTCACATTGCAGTCTTGATCTCTGATCAAACCACTCTTTAATAATGACAATAGCATACCATTAGCAGACCATTTTTTAATATTTTACCACATAAGACTCAGAATATTTATTTGAAACAGTTAATTTCTGCTTAATTCAATTTGATCATAAAATTGCTATTTTTAAATTGACCACCAGTGGGCAGCAAAATCACAATGCAGCAAGAATACCTATCCGGTATTTGTACCATAGGCTATAAAATCCTTACTTTAAATCAGACCTAAGCCTGGCATGTCTATAATTATTCTGATACAGCCCTTCATTTTCCAAAAAATATGTAACAGTTTTCAAACCAAAATCATAATCCTACTAGGTGCACTGTACAATAAACTCCTATATATACAGAAACACAGATTTCACAAGAGGGAAGAGGAGGAATTTGCTGGACTGTGGCTTAAGAATACACATGAATGTTTAAAATGCAATAATATTATTAAAAAATACATTTTTCAATAAACTGGGATGTGCTATTAAGCATCCAGGTGTCTTTTGCTGTCCATCACATAGAGAAAACCCAGATCTCCTTTAAAAAGCCTATGATAAAAGACATGCATTATTGAAAACATGCATTAAATTTATACTGTTAAAAGATGCCTATATTTTTCCATATTTCTATATTCTCAGATTACCAAGACAGACAGAAAGACAGACAGACTCTTACATCATTTGACTGCAATAAGAGAAACAAAATGAAAATAGTGATGTACTTCACACCCATTTCCATGGGTTTTTGAACAACTGTAAGAAAAACAAACCCAACAGGGAGCAAGCAGAGATATATGGACAAAAGTAATTCTAACAACATGTGTGACTTTTTCAAAAGGCTATGTTTTGCTTTTGAATCTCTGTATTACCCAACTGAAGACTGTTGCTACTGTACATCCAAAACAAGTTAAAAAAAAGAAAAGAAAAGAAATCTTGGTTAATTTGGTGTTAAGATTGTAAAATTGTATCTCTAATTGATAGAATCACTGAGAAAGAAAAAAAATAAACAAGTATGAGAATTCTCTTATTATGCCCCGCTACCTTCTTAATTTAACTAATCAGAGACAGACGCCTCTAAAACTACTACAGACGTAAACACCTATAGAAATCACAAGATAAGGTTATATAAACAATTCTGACACCAAACTCACATCTGACCTATACCCATCATATCAATAATACAACCGGTGCTGCTAGGGTCCTGGGTGATGGCTGAAGAAAAGAAAAATGCTTGCATTAACACTTGTCTGGACAAAGAGCACAGAGCTTGTTGTTCCATTAAATGCATCTTCTCCAGTGTTATTCCTCCCAAGTCTACTCAAGAACAGCTTCTAGTCTTCACTAACTGATAATAATCTCTAGTTTCCTTTGCAACAGACAGACACTGGTTGGAGCTATTAAGATGTATTCACTGGCATGAATCTGCAGTACTTATTAGGCATCTGAGCTCCACTGAGGAAAATCACAATGTAACAGCTAATTATGATGATGATGATGACGATGATGCTGCATCATAGCATCTGAGATTAACACAACTCTAAAAAACACTGCATTCTTATACAGGGTCCTGGAACCTGCCAGCCTATTCAACATAATTTACATCGTACATTCTATGAAAGATGATTCACTGTTGATCTTAGCTGCTTGTATATTTATCTGCTTTAAGACCCCTCAGTAAAAGACTAAAAGTGAGGCTCAAAAATGAAAAACAAAAAAAATGGGGCGGAAAGAAGTAACTACTTGTTATCACCCTGATCATGTAATTGCTTTAGAATGCACAAACTTAGTACCTGAAGAACCAAAGAAAGGGCATAAAAAAACATTTGCAATCTCTTTTCCCTTTTCTGCCTAGGTCAACAGGAATTTACCAGGAGTTTGGACCTACAATCCAAGACCTAATGTTAATTCATTGTTAATGAAAGTCTTGAAGTTAACACCCTAAACTAAGAATGCACTAATACGCTATGACTCCTAGGTTGAGCTGTTCCTCATTCCTAAATCTTGATTTCAAAGAAAATAAAATAATGAAATCAGATGATAAGTGCAAAGATACCAAACTTTAAAAAAATCAACAAATTTAACTGGAACAATATGAAATCTGGTAATATAGTTCAAAATGTCATACAGAAATTAAAGAATGGTTGGAGATGAAAAATAATCAAATCAGTGAAGATCCTCTTCATATAAAAGTCCTGCCCTTCAGCAAAACTGGAGGGAAAAGAGCAGCTTATAGCAATGTTTTTAAATGTGGCTATTTGTAGACTGTTGCCACAGCCTCAGTACTGGAGCTTCAGAGAATCTGTAATTCCTAATGAAATCAAGAGAGGTGGTGGTTACTTGGTTCCTCTGAAAATCTGATCTTTAAAACAGGTCCAAAAGCATACTAAAAATCCCAAATAGTTTATCTCAGTGAGATCCTCAGATTGAAAGTGCTATTAAATGCAACATTATGGTACTTACTATTAAAATGATGCAAAAATTTAACTTACTGTCTAGGATCTCATCTTATCATTCAGATTTACATACAATTTGTCATGTCTTAAGCACCAGCTCTGCAGGTAAATCTCTACAGCTAGTGTCTTTGTGAATGAAAGGTGAGCAAAAACACAACTCACTGACATAGTTTTCTTTTATAAAACAAGTCATGATAAAACAGACATATCACGCTACTCACCACAGTAAATAGAAAAAAGCAAAATATCTCTTTAAGTGGTTAAACACAAAAATGGTATTCAAGCAACACTGTGTGTGTGTGTAATATATGTATATTATACATATACATATATGCACATCCCATTAAAAGAATAACTTGGGAAAACTTACTGAAGTCCATGGCATGTCGACAATGCAACAAACGATTCAGGATTTCCTCGAATTTGGCCCTGGTAATAGCAATGCTCTCCTCCCTGCAATTGAAAACAGAGAATATGAAACTACCTTGTTCTAGAGCATCACATGCATGTCATGGTATTGCAGTGATTATGTTGCCAAGCCTGTCATCTTGGTGCCTAAAGTTCACTGTCACTCAGCATCAAGAGAAAGAAAACTGCTGCAGAAAAAGAAAAACAGAAAACAATTAAAAAAGAATGAGTCATAAACATACCTAGTGTGCTGAACTGAAAGGAAACTGAGTGTATAATCAAATGAGAAAGGAGAGCAATGAAACATAATACTTGCCCCTTCCTTCTCGTAAATAGTGGATACAGATGAACAAATAGGAGCTGAATCCTGCAGTTGTTACTCAACAAAATACCCACTGAAGTCAGTGAAAATCAGAACTGGGTCCCTAAACCAAGCTAAAACTCTACCCCCACTAGAATTATTTTGTATTATTAATTCCTATTAATTATTAACTTATTAATTATTAACTTATTAACTATTAATAATTAACTTAAAAGTTAACTAATTAACTTACCCAGGTCTGTTCTGTGTCATCTAAATTCTCCTGCTTCAGCAGAGGGGTCTTGCCATGGCTCTTAAAAACTATAATACTTAACTACATACACACATAATCACTTCTGGTGATGAGGGGCTCCCACCCCTATACAACCAGACATGGGAATATTTATGAGCATTTATCACAAGAGAATGCATAATAACTTTTCATTTTCACAAGCAAGCCGTGACTTGGGTGATAGTTTGAGGAAAAGCTGAAAGTCATTAACATGTCAAATTAAATGCACTCAGATTCTACCCTGCAAAACATTGTTTCATAAACAATAAACTCAGTCAAAATAGAAAAAATTACGATCTTTTATATAGTTTGAAAAGGAACTCTCCTTTGGTTTGGTTTTCTCTTTCTTTATGGGATCATCCAAATTGAGATTTTTTTAAAAAAGACTAATGATCTGAGATGGCTCAGTTTTCTGGGGAGCTGACTTAAGATGACTTACAGGAACCTGATTTCGAGAACACTGGTACTCAGCACTTTTTAGAAATAAAGCCAATCTCAGGCTGGGCATATAAAATCATTAGTCCACTGCAGAAATCTTCTCCTTAATATTTTATTGCTTGACTCAAAGACTTGATGTCATGGTATAGACCAGGGGTGGGCAATTATTTCGGGTGAAGGGCCGCTTATCCAGTTTTGGCAGGCTGTCGAGGGTCATGGATAGCCCCGCCCCTTGACAGATGCCCCGCCCCCTGGTCACCATTTTGGGACCAATGTCCCAATGTCTTTGGTCCCAAGGCATTGGGACATTGGTCCCATGTCCAGCACCAGTGGGGCCCAAAGCAGGGCACAGGCTGGCAGGGGTCTGTGGAGCTGGGTTGGCCTGCACCAGCAGGGAGAGGGGAGCTGGCCCGGCTCCATAGAGCCCCTGCCGGCCGGGACCCTGCACTCCTGCCCGGGCCGGGGCCCTGCCCTCCTGCCACCCTGCTCTGGGCCCCACTGGCACGGACCCTGGGACACCAGTGCGGGCCCCATGCTCCTGCTGGCTCCTGCACCTGCTCACTCCCAGTGCTCCCCAGCCCCACAGTACAGGCAGGAGGCAGTGCACAGCCCCAACCTCCTGTTCACTGGCAGGGAAGAAGCTGGTGCTGAGCATGGGGAAAAGTGGCCCCTTGACTGCCCCATGGCTGGCGCTGCCTGCTGCAGCTGCTCACAGCCCACACAGGGCTATCGTGAGCAGGCACAGGCAGCGCCACGCGGGCTGTGAGCGGCTGCTGTGCGGCTGCTGTGCGGGGCACCAGACACGGGGTGAGTGAGGGGCCGCTTTTCCCCACGCTCGGCACCAGCTTGTAACCTGGCTCTGGGCTCGCCTGTCAGGGCTGTGCACAGCAGCAGCAGCCCCCCCGCGTGCTGCGCCGGTCAGTGTTGGCTGCTGCTGCCTGCCCGGAGCACACACTGGGCAGCCCAGAGGCAGAGGTGGCAAACACTGCCCAGAACAGCAAGTGGGGGAGCTGCAGCTGCTGTTGCCACATGCAGTCCCAACAGGCAAGCACGGAGCCATGCAGGGCACAGGCTGGCAGTGGAGTCAGGTTACAAGGTGGTGTTGAGTGCGGGGCGGGGGGTAAAAGCAGCTCCTTGCCCACCCCATGGCAAGCACTCCGCACTGCAGCCACTCACAGCCCACCTGGGGCTGCCTGTGCCTGCTCAGGACAGCCCCAAGCAGGCTACAAGCGGCTGCAGCAGGAAGCACCAGCCATGGGGTGAGGAAGGGCCACTTTCCTCCATGCCGGGAAGGAGCAGGGAAGGAGCCCAGGGAAAAGTTGAACATGGGGGGCGGGGAAAGCGGCCCTTCCCCCACCCATGACCAGCACTCCCTGCTCCAGCCACTCGCAGCCTGCACAGGGCTGTCCAGAGCAGGCACAGGCATCCCCACGTGGGCTGCGAGCGGCTGCAGCACGGGGCACCAGCCACAGGGTAGGCAAGGGGCTGCTTCCCCCCCCCCCCCCCCCCGCGCTCAGCTTTTCCCTGGGCCACTTTTTCCCGGGCTCCTTCCCTGCTGGGGTCCTCCCCTGCCCTTCCAACCCAACCTTCCCACTTACCTGATGTTCTGGCGTGGGGCAGCCATGTGGTCCCAGGCCAGAAGCCCCTACTGGGGCTTCCGGATGGGGGGCAGGCAGGCCCTGCTGTTGTGGGGGCCCACTGGGCTTCTCCTGGGTCCTAATGCCCTTGGTTCCTGTCATTTTTGTCATTTTTGATAGGAACCAAAGGCAGAGAAATATTAATTTTCTAAATTTTTTAGGGGCCCCACGGGCCGGATAGAATGGCCTGGTGGGCCGCATCTGGCCCACGGGCCATACTTTGTCCATCCCTGGTATAGACCTTAAAACAGCCTGTACCATATATCTGAAGGTAGACAGTTCCTAGGATGGTTACTGCTGTAGAAATACTTAATATGTAATTAGATAGATTGAAGACTTGCTTCTTTTCATGCAGAGTACCCTTATGAAAAGGTTTCAATTAATCTATACTTCATTTTTATGCCTATTTGTTCTTGTATTTTACACCATCTCTTATTTCCTCTACTCCTTTGACAATGGCAGCCCCCACTGCCTACCAGTTTCACTCACAAGAACCCCTGTTTTCCATTGATGCCCTTTATGCATGAAGCATGGTCGCCAAAATACTGTGTAAAGCTACCCTATACACAAGTTCTCCACAGGATGTCTACAGGAAATGGTCACATTACACAAGGTAGATACACATTCAGTAGAAACCACTGCTATTAATCTTGTTTATAATCTTGCAGTTTATGAAAAGAATAAAATGGAATGGATTAAAACTAGCTATGTGCATGTCTGCCGAATATAAGGGCATGCTCTTGTTACTGTTTGTCTCATTCCCGCTGTTCTATTCCTTCCGTTTTTTTTATTATGCCACTAGTGGCATCTTTTTTTAATTAGTGAAGATACTATGGGCAGGAATTATCTTTTTTTTTCTTTGTTTATACATTACTTGGCATAATACAGGGCCCAGTTGTATGTAGGCCTTCAGAGCCTTCATGCAATAAGTAGTAAAAAAGAAAAAAAAACAGTGAGGAGTTAACACCCAAACAAATAATCAGCTAAATCACTGGTGCTTGACCTCCAGCCCATGGGCCAGATTCAGTCTACAAAGCCATGTTGTCTGACCCACAGAGCTGACGACACATCCAGAAATTTGGCAGCAGTGTCAATTAACACTGTCACTGCTCCCCGACCACCAAATGTCCAAGCTCTGCCAGCCAGACAGCATGGCCCTGCTCATGTGGCTAGGACAATGGGTATAATCAGGCACAGGGCCCAATCCAGCACTGGTATAGGGCTGTGGATAGGGTCAGGGTCTCAGCCAGGAGCTATCTTGTGCATAGGACCAGGGCCAGGGCCTGATCAATGTATGAGGCTGGGGTTTGATCTGGTGTTTGGGCCAAAACTCTGATCTGGCATGCAAGGCAAGGGCCATTCCAGCATGTGGGGCCAGGACCAGAGCCTGATGCAGCACACAGAGCTGGGGCCACGCGCTGGATCAGACCTGCAGACCATATCTTGCCTATAGACTGACCCCACACCACTCATTCACCTACTGGACTGAAAGGTTGGGCACCACTGAGCTAAATGAATTTTCGAAAGAGCTTATCATAAATATCTTTCCAATACACTTTTTGTTGAAGGTATTTCTGGGACAGGCATGTGGGTATGTGAATAATACTAGAAGGGATGGATGGAGCCAAATGGGATTTTGATTAGTTCTGGAAGGAATTTTGGTAATTAGTCAAGACTGCTTTAGCCTCATAAAAAGTAGTGGAATATATATCCGCAATGGTGCCTGAGGCTTACTTATTCCACAAAATGAAATCTATGTAACCAGGAACGACATTTTTAATTCAAAATATCTGAGCCTGCATAAATTATGTGTCTCAAAAAAGTGTTTTGATCTCTTTAATGAGAATCAAATAAAATGTCCCATGATTGTACTCCAAATGTTTTCATAATTCTTCAGTAAAATTATACCATAACAAATCTGTGGACAGAAATATGCTTTCCATCTACAAATCTAAAAGAAAAACAAAAATAGCTGAAAACAATCTTACACGTGTTTTCTAGAAAGAGCATATCTTGGATGTAAAGGTTCTATTTTATTAATTCAAGCAATTCAATTTGCTTATTTACTAAAGGTCACATAAATTCTGCTAGAAACATAAACAGAACTGAGATATCTGGACTCCAACCATATTTTTTACCACTGTAGAATGTTCTTCCTCACATGTCAACATATAAGGGGCAATTTTATGATGGGCTCTCTTCTTATTCTTGGAGACAATGCAGAAAGCCAAAAGAAGACTGAATAAATGTATAGGTATACCTAGAAATACCTGTTACCCATGTGTCCTTAGTTATAAAGATCCGTGGAAATGACAGACCTTGCCTTCAAGACTCTCTTAAATCAGGAACCAAGTGCTTGCCACAATCACACTTAATGATCATAGAGACGGACAGAATGGAGGAGGATGTGTCAAAGTGAAACTGTGTGCACTCAGCATTTGAAGGCCCAGGGAGGAAAAGTAATTATTCAAAATGCTGCCTGTTGGACTGTCTCACAGGATAAAGAGGACCTCCAGCAAGGCTGCCACCACACATGGTAAAAATGGAAGAAAAGTTTGTGCAGGAATTTCCAAACTATGGTGCACCTACCTCTGGTAGTAATTTGAGTTTCAATTCCATCAATATGTAGCAGAAAGCCCCCTTTTCATCTTGCCTGCATTTGCTCTCCCCTCTTTGGATATGTTTCTCTTTTTCTA